ACTTAAAAAAAAAGAGGTTTGTACCTATGTTATTTGCTTATTATTTCTTGCCTATGTCTTGTAATATGAGAAACTACTTTGGCAATAACAACACACAATGTACTAACCATTGTTACTCTCCTAAAATCTTGTTTTGAGATTTTGTATCACTGTTTTTATTTTTTTTCTTTCTTTAAAATAAAAATAACTGATGTCAATAAAAAATAAAGTAGGAATAGAAAAAAAAAAAAACCTTCTTACCTCTGAATAATTCTTAGTAGCAACATTACGGGAGGGCTGCTGCCTTGAAGGTTTAAAAGCTGTAATACAAAATATAAGATATCCATTATACAATTCTTTAAAATAGCAAAATCTGTACACTTCTTTAGCTTTAAGTGTTTTAAGTTCTGCCTGCAAAACTCCACAAAAATCAATTATAAAATCATCTCTCTCTCTATATTTTTTTTAAATTTATTTATTTATTTTTTTTGGGCAGAACTGGGGATTGAACTCAGGCCCTTGTGCTTGCCAGGCAAGCACTTATTTTACTGAAGTATCTCCCCAGCCCCTCATATTTTTTAAAACCAGAAGGGACATTGAATTACATGTTCAATCTTTAGCTGTCAGTCTGTTTTCCTAGATTATTCAAATATAAGAAACAGTATTTATAAGTAGACCCACACTTAACATGCTTTATTATACAACACCTCAAAGATAAAATGCAATTATCCAGCCAAGTGAACCACAAATCCAATGAAAGTAAGACTCCTAATCCCTTGTTTTGTGATAAACGGCATGTTTTCTGTGGCTCTATCAGAAGCTTTCTCATTTCTTCCACTCCGGCAGCCAACATTCAGCCCCTAGATATGCAGGGCTTACCTTTTACTGCTTAAAACTTCCCTTTGAATTAGCTCTTTACCCTTTTCCTTTTTTCCTATGACAAAAACCTAAATTTCAAATACCTTACTGAGTTTATTTTTTTATTAGCCTTGCCAATTTGCTCATGTGAAATATATCTCCCCAAGACAATGGCAAACTAAACAGGGAAAAGGGAAGAGAATCAGAAAAACCAAATATCTAAAGGATCCTTCTAGGCAGAAAACCTCAGGAATCTTGCTACCTCGCTTATATTATTTCCATATAATTCCTGTTCTATATAATGTCTATCTAAGAGAAGAGAAGAGAGTCAAAAGCAAAGTCCTTATCTTCTCCCTCAATTACTGGTCTCACATCCTACTGTACCAGAAAGGCTAGCCTGGGCAAGCTTCTAGGAAACTAGTGATCGTGAGACTCAAAAAACTTACTCTGCTCCATACTTAGTCACTGTTTGCTCAACTCTCTGCTCCCTAAAAACAGGAAACCTTTCTTTCATTACCTAGAAAATAGCAAAAGATAAATGAATTTTTAAAGTATCTTTGTGAGATAAATTATGAAATAATTAACTTTATCAGAAAAGTAAGCAGTGTGTTTTGTCACAGAGGTAATAATACATCATGGTGACGAAGAGGTCTGTTGTGGAGTTACTCATTTTGATTCCTTCCTAGTTGGGTGACTACCAAATCCCTTGGTTTCTTTAAATCTCAATTTCCTAACCTGCAAAACAGCATTAGTACCTCAGGCAGGAGACTGTGGAAAGGATAAAGAGTTGTTCAATGGAAACTGCTCTGGGAAGTGCCCACCCGGCAGCAGGCACTCACACACAGGCAGCTGTCAGGGGCAGGGAATGCATGGCAGCACCACAGCTCTCTCGGTGGAAAACTGCTCATAAAAGCAGGGGCACAGAGGTATCCTCATTTGCTCAGTCACTATCCTTTTTTTTTTTTTTGCAGTACCAGGGATTGAACTCAGGACCTTGTGTTTGCCAAGCAGGCGTTTATGCTGCTGAGCTATATCCCTTGTCCCCGATCAGTCACCATCCTCTGCACTAACTTCAACAGAAAAATCTGGGCCGTCAACTTTTGCAACTGCTGCTGGCTAAAAGTGTCATTTCCACCTTTCACAACAACATTTCAGTAGGCCAATAAATCTCCATATTCTATTGAGGTTATTATAGCAGAATTTGGCCTTTATTTATCTCTTCATTGCTTCATTTATGAAGAGTATTTAAAAATTGTAACTTTAATATTGCTTCTGTTGTAAAATGATGACAAATACAGTTAGTACCACATGCTTATTTTGTTAAGACTTAAAAAGCACCAAATCTTAACTTGATAAAGCTCTTTCATGTGTTTCTAGTAAAAAGTTAAGTTTTTAAGCGCCCATATTGGAAGTAACTAGTTAAATTACCAAAACCTTTAGATTAAATCAGTTAGATGAAGACAAATGTAGATCAATGACGTATATGTAATATGTGTAATAAGAGTGTGTAAGGAAACCACATGCAGCCTGAAACTGAGGAAAATCAGATTTTATTCTCCTACCTACAGGCAGGCTGGTATTTTGGAGCAAGTATCAGCAAATAGCTAAGGGGATCTATCTATCTATCTATCTATCTATCTATCTATCTATCTATCTATCTATCTATCTTACCTGGGCATAGAGTGGGGGTGGGGTTGTAGGGACAATCACCCAAAGTTGGTACACAGAGCTAGTGTCAGGGGACTTCAGGGTGAATTTAGCCTCACACTAAATTTTTCATTGCCCTTGCTTCTTGTTTACCAGGGGTAGTAAGCTTCTACCAGTAATGGAGAGTCCATTGTTTGTACTGGGCAGTCTCCTTCAGGCCAGTCCTGACAATAAGCAATGTTCATCTTGGGCACAGGATTAGAAGTAATGCTTGCCAAGCACGAGGGCCTGGGTTCAGTCTCAAATATCACCAAACAAAATGAGTATATACCATTTACCTTCACAAATTTATTATAAAACTGCCACTAACACAATAGTAGCAACTACCTACTAAGCTTTTGTTGAGCTACTCTGAGTGCTGTATATACTTATGTTTACTTAAATTAATTTTGCCTTGAACTAGTCCCACATCGTTAATTCTATATTAAGAGATCTGAGGCTTAATGAATAGCCATGTTTTCTTACTGAATGCCTAACGTGTACTGATTCTGTACTAGGTAGCTCCTACGCATTTCCTTAGTAATCTTCACACAGCCCAAGGAGGTAGAAGCAACCATACTCCATCCAACAGCTGACAATATTGAGAGTCATTAAAGATGGAACGCTTAAGTAATCTGCTGAAGAACACACAGCTAGTCAGCTGAGTTAAGGCTCAAGCCAAGATCTTTCCTGACTTTACAACCACTCTATTACGCCCTTATGCTACATAATGTCTAAATTATACTCACCCAGTCATTCTCAGGCATTTATTTTATTTATTCTTTGTGGCCGGCTCAGCCCACCCTGGGGGCAGGGCTGGTGCAGCACGTGATGACAGGGACTCAACTGCAGTCTCTGTGCTTGCCTAAGCAGGAGCTTTAGACCATTAAGCTATCTCACCAGCCCCATCGCAGGTATTTAATAAGCACTTACTGGCACTGGGCTGATGAACAGGAATGATTCAGTCCCTGTTCTCCCAGTGGCTACCATGTGAGGGCATCAGTCTGGACTGAACCCAATCTGACTCTAGAGCAGAGTATTACAATGTTATGTTGCACAGGACATCACAGTAAGGCTTTAGGTTGGAATGTAATTCAGAAAACCTGAAGCTTCCTGTTAAGTTCGTTTACTGATGTAGCCTCTTCTCCAGATGAGTATTATTACTGATAAAACTTAAGTCAGGCTAATTTGTACAGCACAATAACTGGCTTCTTGTATTTCTACACAAAAGACAGCTTTATCCCACCTCATCCATAGGTAACAGTAGTCATTAAAGGGGTCTTTTGAAAGTAGTGGTACTGGGGCCGGGGAGATAGTGGAATAAGCACTTCCCTGGCAAGCACAAGGGCCTGAGTTCAATCCCCGGTTCCGCAAAAAGAAAAAAAAGAAAGTAGTGGTACTAAAAAGAAATGACATTGGCATGTAAAATAATACTGCTTTCTAAACCCTTCTAATATAGAGTCCTGAACCCAAAAGGAAGCAGCCACACGTGTTTCAATTTAGACACAAGGGTAAGATAAAAGTAAGACTCAATGAACTGTTCACTGTAGGCTACATTATTCAGACAGCCCCTTCTACTGAAAACAACCTGTTATGGTTTGTGTCTAGTTATCCCTCCAAAGCCTCCTGTAACTTATGGGACAGGCACATCTGGAGGAGCAAGAGTGGCTTGAGGAGCGGGGCCAGAGGACTAGGGCGGGGCCAGGGAGGGGTGAACCGTTAAACTGGCTAGCTGGTACTTTCTCAGAGATGTGGAGAGGGTCATCCTGTGCTTGCCAGGCAAGTGCTTATTCTACTGAGCTATCCCCCCGGCCCCTCTCATTTTCTTTCTTTTTATTTATTTGTGTGTGTGTGTGTGTGTGTGTGTGTGTGTGTGTGTGGCCAGCTCAGCCCACCAGGGAGCGGGGCTGGCTGGCATGTGGTGCTGGGGGATTGAACCACAGTCCCTGTGCTTTGCTAAGCTTGTTCTAAGTAGATCATTGAGCCATCTCACCAGCCCCTCTTTCTCTCATTTTCAGTGTCAGGTATTTGTCCCAGCAACGAGAGAAGAATAACTAAGACACAACCCCTGCTGCTTTCAAATACTAAGAAAAAAATTTCCCAATGACATTTAAAGAGCTGATCACACCATAAGGAATTATTGGGCCAAACCTGAGAAAAGTTAGAAGCCAGAAAAGTAAGCAGTCCCTTTCTCTGAGGACACCTGTCATTCAGGGAAAATGTTCAATGACTTAGAGAAGGGAGGAGTGCCTGAGGTGGAAGCCCCACCCATTTCCTCCCTGACAAAGTGGAGAACCTCAAGCACAGACAAACAAAATTTCACAAGGGGTTACAAGGCCAGCCTAGGAATTCCTCTTGTTATGTTGCATCAAGTTTAAAGTGATTAAGATTGAGGTGGCCCAGAAAGCCTTGAAATCAACTTCAACCAATATCTCAAGATTATTATTATTAGTTTTAATGTATTTGGTACAGGGTCTCACTATGCAGCACATACTCATAGGGATCCTTCTTTTTTCAGTCTCCTTAGTGCTGGGATTATGGACATGTGCCACCATGCCTGAGCCTGCTCAGCATGCCTAGGGGTGGGCCTGTGGTGCTGGGGATCCAACCCAGGTCCCTTTCTTGCCTAAGCAGGCACTTAGTCAGCTGAGCTATCTCAATGACCCTCAAGATTCTTTTTTTCTTTTTCTTTTTGTATTTTAGGGAAGGGTCTACAGGGTGTTGAGGGTCTCACTACTAGATCGGACTCATAGTGATCCACCTGTTTACAGCCTCC